TGATATGTCAGGTGAGGGGAAGAGGCAAACAATTGATTTAAAAGTCTGGAAAGATAATCCATAGCCAGAATGAAGATAGTAGGAGACAGTGGTTCTTCTTGTTTAATTCCCCTTGATGCAGAGAAGAAACCATGGCTTTTACCATTGATTAAGATAGAGTGATTATTAATACACAGCCATCTTTTTATCAAGATTACAAAGGGCTCAGAGAAACCCCTAGAAATTAAAATGTCCAATATAAAATTCCAATTGATAGAATCATAAGCTTTCTGGATATCCAATTTCAGAATGAGATTGCTTCCTCTACACTTTCTGTCAAGGTCCAACAACAACTCCTGTGCCAAGAGAATATTATCAGAGATCTGTCTCCCTTTCACAAATGCTACCTGGTTATTGCTGATAAGTTGTTGGAGGTGAGGTTGGAGCCTGCTGTTAATAACCTTGCTGATAACTTTAGACAAGACATTTGTTAGACTAATAGGTCTGAAATCTCCCCACCCAGTCCTGGTAGAATTTTTGGGAATCAAAGTAATAGTGGAAGCAGTGAAGTACTTAGGGGATCCATACCTTTAAAGAAGCATTGTACAGCATCAAACACCTCCCCACCGATGATATGCCAAGTAGACTTATAGAATTTAGCAGTAAAACCATCAGGGCCAGCCACCTTTTGGTCATCAATAGAATCCAGTACTGTCTTAATTTCCCCTTCCATAGGAATCTGAATCAGGTCCAAACTTTGAACATAATTAATGCACTCAGAGAAAAGTTACACCTTGATATGAGATCTCTCAGTAGACTGATCCCTAAAGATTTTCTGAAAATACTGAATAGCATCAGTGGCAATGTCTTCAGCATCAGTTACTACATTACCATTTGAATCATGTATAGAGAGGATCATGTTGTTCTTCCTTCTGAAATTAATACAAGCATGATAATAGCCTGTGTTTCTATCATCATCAATGAATCTTGTGACAGCAGCTTTTTGTTTCAGAAAAAGTTCAGTAAAACTGGTGTGCATTAACAGCTCCTCACTTGCTTTGTGCAGTGCAGCTTCAGAATTCAAGCCCATTTGGAAATTCTTTTCCATTTTGATAACATTACTTTGAGCATTAGTCAGATTCTCATTAATATTACCAAAATTTTCCCAATTCCACTTCTTGAGATGAGCAGCTACCTTTTTTTGCAGAATCCACAATTTTACCTAGGGATTAGAGTTCCCTTCAGCCTTCCAAACCTTACCAACTTCCTCAACAAACTGAGGGTGGAGAGTCCACATGTTTTGAAATCTGAAAGGAGCATTTTTTGGCTTTTCAGCATTTTGGATAGTACATAACAAAGGTCTATGGTCAGACCCTGCCATAGCCAGATGAGTAATGATAGTGCAAGGGAAGGTCTGAACCCATTTAGAGTTCCCCAACAATCTATCCAGCCTCT